TATATACATATAACATATCCCTTGAAAATTAAATAGTGTTTTACACTAATTGAATTGCTATTTAAAAAGGATAATTGTTAATATATTTGAGTTGGATATCTGCTTATAGCCCTATAGGAATAAAAATGCAATCCAGTATTAAAACTGGAAGAAAATATTATTAATCATCTCCTAAGTTCCTGCTTTTGCTGATAAGATCAGCAACCCAGAGAGCTCATAGTTAGGATAAGCCAGGACTAGAATCTGAAACTCTTGGTACTTCCCTTCTAGACTTTCCTCCTTGATATAAGTATCTTACTTTGACATAAACCCGTAGTCATGTACCTGAACATCTTGTCTAAGAAAGTAAGGGAGAAAGGAAAGGAAGGAGAAAGGAAAATCAAGTTTAAATTATTTTCCAGGTTCTTACCCCTACAAATGTGTTCATATGAAGAAAAAAAAACCCCACATATGCATATCTAAAAGCCTGCTGTTTTATTTTAAGATTCCTATGTAGTAGGATTTCCCTCCCCTATTATGCGCAACTAAGTAATCTCATTTTTTAAGAAATAAGATTAGAAGTAGGTATCAGAACAGCAGCTTTCATGTATTCATCCCTTAGATTTAGCCTACTCCTATGGTAGTTTTCCTGTGTTCTTTCATCAAATGCTCATAAAGATGCTATATTTGAGGAGGTTTTGTTAGTGATATTCACTTCAAAGCTGAGAAAGCTCCATTGGAGAGTGTGGCATTTACTTGAGTTGCACAGCTGCTGCTGGCAGTGCCAGTATGCAAAGCCAGAATTAGCTCGCTGTAGGCCTAAGTGCGCAACCTCCACGTTATTCTCTTCTGCCTCTGAAATGTGGAAAACTGGTCCACCAGCTCTTCTTTTCCAGTATAAAGGCTCATTCTTCTGTCCACATACTAACCAGACCTTATGCTTGGCTTCAGAGATCCAGCACATTCAGGTGGTACAGCTGCAGGTTGACATCTCTTTCTCTTATTCTCTAATCACACCCTTAACCCAGCTTCTTAAAGCTCTATTTTGACAATGACTTTCATATTTTTCCTTCAAGGAGAGTAATTTATTTAGTTCAGGAATGGGTTATAAATCAGACTGCATGGGCGCCAACTCACAAATTTATCCAATGTGCTGTCTTTTGTGGATTTTGTTGATTTGTTTTTCCCAGTTTGTCTGAGAATTCATCATTTCCCTCCGCAAAAGTCTTTCCTGTTTTCCTCTGTACTGCTAAGGTGGTAATTTTCAGCACCATTACTTAAGTGTATACGACTCCCCTGGCTGGTATTTACTCTAATTAACATTGAACAAGCTAACACAGAAAGCTATTATTGAATTTCTTCCTTCTGTGAATTAGATGCTGTCATCTAGTTATATCTAGGGGATATGCTTACAATTCTTTAAAAGATATGTCTGCAAGGGAGTAAAATAGTGTTTTATAAAATCTAGGGCTATTTTAATCTGGTAAGTACCTACTATGTTCCCAGCAATAGACTGAAAGTAGCAGGTTGAAGAAAAGAATGACTGCAAGTTTAATAAAAAGATGATGAAATTGCTCATAGACATTTTAAACATATCTGGATGAAAGGAAATAACTCCATAGTGAAATAGAAATGGTTAATGGCTGGCACTGGAGGTGTAGCCCAGTGGTAGAGCAATGTCTTGTGTTCAGTCCTCAACTCTGCAAAAAAGAAAGGGAAACAGAGAAAGTTAACAGTCCAGTGTCCGGTTGACAGAGCCCTAATAACTTCCTCATTCTAAGACTCTCCAAGTTTTCCTTGGGTTGGTCTTCCTACTCATAAAATTCAGGGAAGGGGAGGTAAACAGAATAATCTCTAAAGGTTCCTATACCACTTTAAGATTCTATACTATAATGGGTAACCAAATAAGATGGCCCTTTTCAATATAGGGGGGCCTTTTCAACAGGCAGGCCTTTTCAATATAGTGGACCTTCTTGGCTAAGTAATTCTGTCGTGGAGGGGTATTGTGTGCACTGCAGGATACTGAGTTGCATCCTGGATCTTTATCAACTAAATGCCAGTCTCACCCTATCCCAATTGGGACAACCAAACATGTTTCCAGATGGGACAACCAAACATGTTTCCAGATGTTATCTTTTTTTTTTTTTCTTTTTTTCGGAACCGGGGATCCTTACTCAGGCCCTTGTGCTTGCCAGGGAAGCACTTATTCCACTGAGCCTTCTCTCCAGCCCTCCAGATATTATCAAATGTCCCAGGGGACAGGTGCAAACTCACTACAGTTTGAGAACCATTAGGCTAAGTAATTCCACGAAAGACTGCAATGGGAACCTCTGACAAAGCTTCACAGAGAAGGTTTGACTTGAACTTGAGGCTTGAAGGAAGTACAAGACTCGAACTGGTGCCAAGGCGAGAGGAGCACAAGGCAATGTATGGAGAAAGAATTAGCAAGACAAGAGAGCAGGTTGGCAGTAATGTGGACACGAGTTGAGAATAGTTACAATAGTTGACCAAAGGACAGTGGGGAGTTTCAAAGGCCCAGATGATTGTCACAGATTATAATAAATGACAATCACCAAAATAGGTTGGGGGAGGGAACTAGTCCCATTGTTCAGATACTTTCCATCCTAAATCAGGAAGCCTCAAATAAGAAATCCTAATTTTGCCAGCCTGTTCCATAGAAGTAAGAGGAATAAAGTGTCCTTAAGGTCTGTTCAGTCCCTGCATCACCACTGAGTTGTCTCATGGGTACACAGTCACCCCACAAGAAAGTGACTCAGCCTATTTGCTGCCAGAGCCTCCATAACATTGCTATTGTTGTTCTCAGTAAAGACCAAGACTGAATTACAATAAGAAGCCCTGTGGCTTCGAACCATTAAAATCCACAAATACATCTGTCAGAGAATAAATTCTGCAAGGTGCAAGGTATTTGTTTCACATGAGCCTCCTTTGGATTGCAGTCAGCATAAACACAAACACTAGTTCAATGAATAGTAAATGTGTTATAGTATCATCTAAATGTACAGCATTCACAGATAAGAAAAGCCAGCCAAGGTACCCACAGCCACTTCCTGCCCACGAGAGTGTGAGACTGGCCAGCCAGGGACTCACGATAGACACACTGGACATTATCATCCCACCAACTGATAAGTTCTGTATGAGGGAGTATTACAGGAGCAAATAGAATCAAGACTTTCCTGAAGAGGTGATTGTCAGTGTCCGG